GGTGAGAGGTGAGGGAGTGTGGACGAGAAATGAAGGTGTGTGTGTGAGAGGTGAGGGTGTGTGAGTGAGAGGGGAGGGTGTGTGAGTGAGAGGTGAGGGTGTGTGAGTGAGAGGTGAGGGCGTGTGAGGGAGAGGTGAGGGTGTGTGAGTGAGAAGTGAGGGTGTGTGGGTGAGAAGTGAGGGTGTGTGAGTGAGAGGTGAGGGTGTGTGAGTGAGAGGTGAGGGTGTGTGGGTGAGAGGTGAGGGAGTGTGGACCAGAAGTGAAGGTGTGTGGGTGAGGTGTTTGATTTATTATTGTGGTGATGACTGAATATCATAATACTAGTTTATGATTGAATGTAATAGTTATGATAAGACGACTTTATGATATATGATTATAGGTGATGGTAAATGGAGAATAAATAACTATAATTAATGATTATGATGAGGATGTTTTAATGATGATGATGATGATGATGATGATGATGATGATGATGATGATGGCGAGTCTCGATGTTTTTTGTTGAATTGTGTTACGACAGTCTCTCCATGGTAAATTTTCCTTTACACCTGATCATTGGTTGTGGATTTTTGGAGTTTATTTTCTGCTTATTTATCTAGTACCTATGTATATTGATTGTTCAAAATTTCCATGCGGTCGTGCAGCACTCCAACCCAGCCCTAGTAAACATCTTCCTCCATGTTATTGTAGTAACCTTTATTGTGTTAAATACGTTACATTTTTCTGACAGTGGAAATGCAATGTTAAGACTATAAAGTAATGTCCCACTGGGGTCCGATAAAATAGATTTTATCACTTGGCCCTCACTCGTGACACCGTTTAGAACATCTGGGGTGCTTTGTAGACGGTCAGCATTTTCTTGATTCCTCCTTCGTCCTCTTCTTTTGGTTACCTATTCATGTGATTGTTCTTTAATTACCAAGACTGATATGAATTTTCCCCGTTTTTTCTGCCCTCAGTCATTTAGAAAAGACGAAAAATTTATGCAATTCACTGGAAGTTCAGAACGAAATCAGACACCGGCATACACCAATTATCAGTCCAACATGGCTTTTTCCGAGAAATTATAATGCGACAAGGGAGTTAACTCTAATGAACCTGCTCAACGTTGAATCATGTGTGGAATTCCTCTACTATCTGATGTCATGCATGCAGACGAGGAACATCAAAGATCATCTGTAGAAAAAAAATACTAAGATTAAATTAGAATTTATGGAAACCTTTCTTTATGAAGCCGTGGAGTAATTCATGAAATGATTTCTCGTTTGCACGTCGGGTTTAAATATTTATCCTGACGTCTATATCGTAAACAAAACTTAACTCCTTCAATGTAAATTTTATTTGCAACAATCATGACAAAAAGTATACGAATTTTTATAGTCCCTGATGGCAAGTCAATGATAGATAATGGTTACAAGCATGCACCTTGTAGGAGCCGAATATCGTATATCTGTAATTACTTTTTGAACTGCTCAACCTTTGAAAGGAAAATTCAAATAAATGTCGCTAGGTACATTATCATTATCAAAATGTCATATGTACAAATATGGCATTCCTAGTTTCCATTTCATATGAAATTTATAGGCAAGTCTGAAAAATGTTCTTTTATCGAACCTCAGACGTTGTTCTTTTCGCGACCTTAACATTTAGCGTTTATATGCACGAAACGAATCTTAATTCTGGTTGGATACAACGGAAATGGAGCTAATAACGGCTATATCTCATGCACAATATTTCCAGTAAAAAATGACGCATTTTTGTTAATCATCACTAATAACGCTTTTACAGATTCACACCAATGTAAAAAGAGAACACAAACCTGAAGGAGTTGTTTACCAATTAGATGAGCTTAAATTCCACAGTAAACTGTCATTTCCATGAAAGTCAGCAAACAATGCAACCCAAATTACCTTGTCAGAGATTAAACGCATTCCCCTGCCGAACGTCTTGAAGAAGATTTAGCCATTTCAAAAGGATTCGTGTCATCAACAGCCACAGTGAGGTTGCTGCTCTATTTTCAACCGTTTAGTAACTTTCACATGTTAAACTCTCTTCTAATATTTAGAAAAAAAACCATATATTTTTGGTCTCGTGTTTTTTACCATCTAGAACTTCAGGTGGTGGCCGAAAAACTGCAAATTATAAGCCTTTTTTTAGTATTGAATTCAAACAAAACATAAATAAATTGAACAATTTAGTGAATTTTTAAATGTTAAAATTGTGCTTATAGTTTTATCTTAAATGACTTCAGAGATAACATATTGTCACTTCTGAGATAACATATTGTCACTTCTGAGATAACATATTGTCACTTCTGAGATAACATATTGTCACTTCTGAGATAACATATTGTCACTTCTGAGATAACATATTGTCACTTCTGAGATAACATATTGTCACATTTGAAATAACATATATTTTGAATTCCGAGATAACAAACGGATTTAACATATTGCCACTTCTAAGATAACATTGAATTTTTATCACTTCTGAGATAACATATTGTCACTTCAGAGATAACATATTTTCACTGCTGAGATAACATACGAGAGTGACAAAGGTGCAGTGTTTTCAAAAGGGAACTTCGTGAAGACCACCTCAGCTTTCGTAACACCCATTTCATTCGAGCTTCTTTGTTGAAAAAAATTAGAAATTTTGCCATGTTTTTCTTCAATTAGTGACATTTCAGTACGTCTTTTTCTTTGTTACATGTTTTAGAAGTCGCCGATACCTCCATGAAATACTGGAATAGCGAGCGCTTTATGGTTTTGTGTGTGGTAATGCAACTCCAACAAACTGTCCAAATGATCAACTTTAGACGGAAGTGTGGCTGGAACTTCATTACCCACAATACACTAACTGCAGCACGCAGTGAAAACTTCTGACCCATTGAATGGATTAAAAATGATTTTGACAGACAAAATATGTTTTTAAGCTTTCATGTGGAAAAGAAATCATACTAAAAGTCTGAAATATTTCATATATTAAAAAAAACAAACATAATTTAATGATGATGATGATGATGATGATGATGGTGGTGTGTATGTGCCGATGTTTTGTTAACATCTTGCGAAAAAAAAAATAAAAAATACGCTTCACTGCAGACATGGATCAGGAATTTCGAAATGTGCATCTTGTTGACCAACTCTCAGACTGAAAATCGGAGCTGCTTCGCCAAAATTGGAGCATTTGGCATCTCTGTCAATATATGTAAAGGCCGATAACTGTAACCCCTTCATACGATCAATAGTCATAATGGTTATCAATTTATCACCATAAGCTGCCAATGTGATTACAAATACATGAAAGGTCGACCGTTGTAACCATTTATACCATCAGTTGTCACTGTGATTATCAAAATATGTAAAGATCGACAGCTGTAACCTTCTATACCGTCAGTTGTCACTGTGATTACCAATATATGTAAAGATCGACAGCTGTAACCATTTATACCATCAGTTGTCACTGTGATTACAAATATATGTAAAGATCGACAGCTGTAACCATTTATACCATCAGTTGTCACTGTGATTATCAATATATGTAAAGATCGACAGCTTAACCATTTATACCATCAGTTGTCACTGTGATTACCAATATATGTAAAGATCGACAGCTGTAACCATTTATACCATCAGTTGTCACTGTGATTACAAATATATGTAAAGATCGACAGCTGTAACCATTTATACCATCAGTTGTCACTGTGATTATCAATATATGTAAAGATCGACAGCTTAACCATTTATACCATCAGTTGTCACTGTGATTACAAATATATGTAAAGATCGACAGCTGTAACCATTTATACCATCAGTTGTCACTGTGATTACCAATATATGTAAAGATCGACAGCTTAACCATTTATACCATCAGTTGTCACTGTGATTACAAATATATGTAAAGATTGACAACCATAACCTTCTATACTGTCAGTTGGCACTGATTACCAACATATGTAAAGATCGACAGCTGTAACCATTTATACCATCAGTTGTCACTGTGATTACCAATATATGTAAAGATCGACAGCTGTAACCATTTATACCATCAGTTGTCACTGGGATTACCAATATATGTAAAGATCGACAGCTGTAACCATTTATACCATCAGTTGTCACTGTGATTACCAATATATGTAAAGATCGACAGCTGTAACCATTTATACCATCAGTTGTCACTGTGATTACCAATATATGTAAAGATCGACAGCTGTAACCATTTATACCATCAGTTGTCACTGGGATTACCAATATATGTAAAGATCGACAGCTGTAACCATTTATACCATCAGTTGTCACTGTGGTTACCAATATATGTAAAGATCGACAGCTGTAACCTTCTATACCGTCAGTTGTCACTGTGATTACCAATATATGTAAAGATCGACAGCTGTAACCATTTATACCATCAGTTGTCACTGTGATTATCAATATATGTAAAGATCGACAGCTGTAACTATTTATACCGTCAGTTGTCACTGTGGTTACAAATATATGTAAAGATCGACAGCTTAACCATTTATACCATCAGTTGTCACTGTGATTACAAATATATGTAAAGATTGACAACCATAACCTTCTATACCATCAGTTGTCACTGTGGTTACCAATATATGTACATATCGACAGTTGTAACCATTTATACCATCAGTTGTCACTGTGATTAACAATATATGTACAGATTGACAACTTTAATCTGTTTTACTATCGGTTGTCATTTTCTATATCAGCAATCCTCAATTTATGTAAAAGTCGACAACTGTGATCTTACAAACTATCAGTTGTCATTGTCAGATTGCGGATTTCTATAACTATAAATATGTGTAGTAAATAAACGTGTGTAATGAGGCCGAAGGCTAGTTTTCCATCTCTATATGGAGTTTTGACTGCCGATGTCTTCATCTGTAACTGTTGTAATCCATCACAATCAATGGTTTCCAACGCTTGTCGAGATCAGTATCGAATAAGGTGTCTTCCAAATCATTAATGTTTACAAGTTCAGATAAAGTGTTTAACACTGTACTCAACACAATATTTTCCACGTCTTACTATTAAATATTTGAGTACGGATGTCAATATCCGACATTCCGGTTGTTTAAAGATGGTCAACCGATTTTTGAGTATTATCTTGTAGAGTAGTAATTGGTTCGGATATATTATCAGTATTATCTACATGATCATCTGTGTTTGAGTTTGTTATCTCTGAAGACACGTTATTGTGATTTTCATGTATAGGGACTGTTTCCTTTTCTTGTGGAGCCTCAATTGATTCGGATACATTGCCAGTACGCGAGTCGACGGCCATCTCTTGTGTTTCTAATTTTGTATTCGCGGATCCATTTTCAAAAGACGGTGTCTCGTCTCTGTTATCTTCAATACCTGTAGTGTCAGTAGTTTTTTCACAACTATCTACGTCATTATCTGTGTTAGGGGATGTTTCCTTGTCGTCAAAAAGGCACGGAGTGTTTTCTTGTGGAGCCTCAATTGATTCGGATACATTGCCAGTACGCGAGTCGACGGCCATCTCTTGTGTTTCTAATTTTGTATTCGCGGATCCATTTTCAAAAGACGGTGTCTCGTCTCTGTTATCTTCAATACCTGTAGTGTCAGTAGTTGTTTCACAACTATCTACGTCATCATCTGTGTTAGGGGATGTTTCCTTGTCGTCAAAAAGGCACGGAGTGTTTTCTTGTGGAGCCTCAATTGATTCGGATACATTGCCAGTACGCGAGTCGACGGCCATCTCTTGTGTTTCTAATTTTGTATTCGCGGATCCATTTTCAAAAGACGGTGTCTCGTCTCTGTTATCTTCAATACCTGTAGTGTCAGTAGTTTTTTCACAACTATCTACGTCATTATCTGTGTTAGGGGATGTTTCCTTGTCGTCAAAAAGGCACGGAGTGTTTTCTTGTGGAGCCTCAATTGATTCGGATACATTGCCAGTACGCGAGTCGACGGCCATCTCTTGTGTTTCTAATTTTGTATTCGCGGATCCATTTTCAAAAGACGGTGTCTCGTCTCTGTTATCTTCAATACCTGTAGTGTCAGTAGTTGTTTCACAACTATCTACGTCATCATCTGTGTTAGGGGATGTTTCCTTGTCGTCAAAAAGGCACGGAGTGTTTTCTTGTGGAGCCTCAATTGATTCGGATACATTGCCAGTACGCGAGTCGACGGCCATCTCTTGTGTTTCTAATTTTGTATTCGCGGATCCATTTTCAAAAGACGGTGTCTCGTCTTTGTTATCTTCTAAAGAGTCAGTGTTTGCCTCATGTTTATCAATATCATTGTCCTCTATGTTTGAATTTGAAATTCCTGAAGACAATAACTTGGAACTTTCCGGATTTATTTGTGTTTCCTTGTCGTCGAAACGGTATGGATTTCTTTCCGGTGGTGCACCAGTTGATTCCGGCACGCTACCATCCCTCGAGACGCTGAATGTCTCAGGTCTCTCAAAGTTTATCTCAGAAACGACATCTGTATGCGAAAGGAGCGATCTGTCTCTATTTTCAATAGGCAGCGACCTGTCCGTCTCAACACTTCTAGTGTCAGGGATATCATTTGTCCAGTTTTCATACACGTGTGACAAATGAATTTCGCACGTCGGAATAATCTCAGCGTCATCAATGAATGGAATGTTCTCCATGGCGTCCTGATACGAAGTAGACTCCGGGTTTTCTGAGGGGCGGACGTATAAGAATGGTGAAGTTTCTGAGGGAACCTCTGTTATTACTGTTACACTCCCACTAACATGTTCATCACGATTTCTCCTATCACTCACCTGATACCTCTGAAAGAAGACGAGTAAAGTTATGTGTAAAATGTTGAATTGTTGAACAACATGAAATTATTAAATATGAAAATAATGATGGTTCATATAACACAAAGTTTAATTATGTAAACATACGAATTTAGCTTCATACAATTTACATGGTTCGTTATCAACAAGTGTACACAACAAAAATATATCGTTAAAAACCTGAATACATTCATTGGTTTATTTATCATCCTACGTATATTCAATGACATACAATGGCCTATGACACAAAACAAAACTTAACAGGGCGTATATTAGTATATAAATTATATACACAAGGAACAAATGAAAGTAATGAAAGAAGTACAACCATAAATAGGCCGGGAGGGAGATATTCACAATCAACAGGCCAATGAAAGAAGTACACATCACACACAGGTCGGGAGGGAGATATTCACAATCAACAGGCCAATGAAAGAAGTACACATCACACACAGGTCGGGAGGGAGATATTCACAATCAACAGGCCAATGAAAGAAGTACACATCACACACAGGCCGGGAGGGAGATATTCACAATCAACAGGCCAATGAAAGAAGTACACATCACACACAGGCCGGGAGGGAGATATTCACAATCAACAGGCCAATGAAAGAAGTACACATCACACACAGGTCGGGAGGGAGATATTCACAATCAACAGGCCAATGAAAGAAGTACACATCACACACAGGTCGGGAGGGAGATATTCACAATCAACAGGCCAATGAAAGAAGTACACATACACACAGGCCGGGAGGGAGATATCACACACAGGAAGTACACATCACACACAGGCCGAGGGAGAAGTACACATCACACACAGGCCGGGAGGGAGATATCAACAGGCCAATGAAAGAAGTACACATCACACACAGGTCGGGAGGGAGATATTCACAATCAACAGGCCAATGAAAGAAGTACACACACACAGGTCGGGAGGGAGATATTCACAATCAACAGGCCAATGAAAGAAGTACACATCACACACACAGGGAGATATTCACAATCAACAGGCCAATGAAAGAAGTACACATCACACACAGGTCGGGAGGGAGATATTCACAATCAACAGGCCAATGAAAGAAGTACACATCACACACAGGTCACACAATCAACAGGCCAATGAAAGAAGTACACATCACACACAGGCCGGGAGGGAGATATTCACAATCAACAGGCCAATGAAAGAAGTACACATCACACACAGGCCGGGAGGGAGATATTCACAATCAACAGGCCAATGAAAGAAGTACACATCACACACAGGCCGGGAGGGAGATATTCACAATCAACAGGCCAATGAAAGAAGTACACATCACACACAGGCCGGGAGGGAGATATTCACAATCAACAGGCCAATGAAAGAAGTACACATCACACACAGGCCAATGAAAGAAGTAGGGGGAGATATTCACAATCAACAGGCCAATGAAAGAAGTACATATCTTAAACAGGTCGGGAGGGAGATATTCACAATCAACATGCCAATGAAAGAAGTACATATCTTAAACAGGTCGGGAGGGAGATATTCACAATCAACAGGCCAATGAAAGAAGTACACATCACACACAGGTCGGGAGGGAGATATTCACAATCAACAGGCCAATGAAAGAAGTACACATCACACACAGGCCGGGAGGGAGATATTCACAATCAACAGGCCAATGAAAGAAGTACACATCACACACAGGTCGGGAGGGAGATATTCAACAGGCCAATGAAAGAAGTACACAACACACAGGCCAAATCAACAGGCCAATGAAAGAAGTACACATCACACACAGGTCGGGAGGGAGATATTCACAATCAACAGGCCAATGAAAGAAGTACACATCACACACAGGCCGGGAGGGAGATATTCACAATCAACAGGCCAATGAAAGAAGTACACATCACACACAGGCCGGGAGGAGATATTCACAATCAACAGGCCAATGAAAGAAGTACACATCACACACAGGCCGGGAGGGAGATATTCACAATCAACAGGCCAATGAAAGAAGTACACATCACACACAGGTCGGGAGGGAGATATTCACAATCAACAGGCCAATGAAAGAAGTACACATCACACACAGGTCGGGAGGGAGATATTTACAATCAACAGGCCAATGAAAGAAGTACATATCTTAAACAGGTCGGGAGGGAGATATTCACAATCAACAGGCCAATGAAAGAAGTACACATCACACACAGGTCGGGAGGGAGATATTCACAATCAACAGGCCAATGAAAGAAGTACACATCACACACAGGTCGGGAGGGAGATATTCACAATCAACAGGCCAATGAAAGAAGTACACATCACACACAGGTCGGGAGGGAGATATTCACAATCAACAGGCCAATGAAAGAAGTACACATCACACACAGGCCGGGAGGGAGATATTCACAATCAACAGGCCAATGAAAGAAGTACACATCTTACACACAGGTCGGGAGGGAGATATTCACAATCAACAGGCCAATGAAAGAAGTACACATCACACACAGGCCGGGAGGGAGATATTCACAATCAACAGGCCAATGAAAGAAGTACACATCACACACAGGTCGGGAGGGAGATATTCACAATCAACAGGCCAATGAAAGAAGTACACATCACACACATGCCGGGAGGGAGGGTCTGGAGGAGATATTCACAATCAACAGGCCAATGAAAGAAGTACACATCACACACAGGCCGGGAGGGAGATATTCACAATCAACAGGCCAATGAAAGAAGTACACATCACACACAGGCCGGGAGGGAGATATTCACAATCAACAGGCCAATGAAAGAAGTACATATCTTAAACAGGTCGGGAGGGAGATATTCACAATCAACAGGCCAATGAAAGAAGTACACATCACACACAGGTCGGGAGGGAGATATTCACAATCAACAGGCCAATGAAAGAAGTACACATCACACACAGGCCGGGAGGGAGGGTCGGGAGGGAGATATTCACAATCAACAGGCCAATGAAAGAAGTACACATCACACACAGGCCGGGAGGGAGATATTCACAATCAACAGGCCAATGAAAGAAGTACACATCACACACAGGTCGGGAGGGAGATATTCACAATCAACAGGCCAATGAAAGAAGTACACATCACACACAGGCCGGGAGGGAGATATTCACAATCAACAGGCCAATGAAAGAAGTACACATCACACACAGGCCGGGAGGAGGATATTCACAATCAACAGGCCAATGAAAGAAGTACACATCACACACAGGCCGGGAGGAAGACATTCACAATCAACAGGCCAATGAAAGAAGTACACATCACACACAGGTTGGGAGGGAGATATTCACAATCAACAGGCCAATGAAAGAAGTACACATCACACACAGGCCGGGAGGGAGATATTCACAATCAACAGGCCAATGAAAGAAGTACACATCACACACAGGTCTGGAGGGAGATATTCACAATCAACAGGCCAATGAAAGAAGTACAGAGCGTTGAACAGATAAAATAGTACTATATGGTAGAGGAATGAGGAAATGAAATTGTTATCAAAGTATAAATTTGTATAAGGGGTAGAATGGTGTTTCGCAATGACGTCCAACTATGCTTATTGGTGAGTTATTGTGCTAGGTAGTGATATATTGTGTACGCTTACCTTTCTTTTCTGTATTTTTCTACAAATGAGCACGCTGCAAATAAAAAATAAATAAAATATTAGTTACATTACACGGTGTCGACTTCTCGTTTTAACAGTAAACATATTACTATGCTCACAGCTGTCTTAGCAACCACAATAAGCTTCACTTATTGATCCAAAGGTTGAATGAGAACTACACATATCTCATTTCTCATGGCGACTGAAATGAGAACCACACATATCTCATTTCTCATGGCGACTGAAATGAGAACCACACACATCTCATTTCTCATGGCGACTGAAATGAGAACCACACATATCTCATTTCTCATGGCGACTGAAATGAGAACCGCACATCTCTTTTCTCATGGAGACTGAAATGAGAACCACATATAGCTCATTTTTCATGGAGACTGAAATGAGAACCACACATCTTATTTCTCATGGAGACTGAAATGAGAACAACACATATCTCATTTCTCAAGGAGACTAAAATGAGCTAAAAGTACTAAGTGAATTCTAACGAATTAATCATAACTAAACCAATGTATATTATAGGTAAGTGTCGTTACTTACTCCCCCTAAGATAAATAAGACCAAAGGAGGACTGGACCATACATGGATCATTCAGGGATACTTTCAGGTCAACTGCGCATTTTTGGTATACTGTTCCAAATACAGCTTTTGTCAAAGCTCTCAGAAAATTTGAAGGGCAAAGCGGGGTATGCAAGATGATTTGTTTTGTTACAGGTCTTAAAAACGGTTGAGTTAAAATAGATATTTTTGTGTCATTTTGGGTAAAACAGTATTAAGTATCAGGAATAAAAATGAAAACAATAGGCCAAATGTCCCTGAATCGCTCTAGATATTTCAATATCAAAACATTTCTACTCAAACTTATATTGGCAAATTTCCCCCTAAAAAGATGAGGAATTTTAAAGCTTACAATTATATTTCGTCAAAATATCCAAACCCAAGCAAATAAAAGACTTTACATCTGTATTTCCCCGAACATCATCCCTAAAGGGACCGGACAGCATATTCATATAAACTTAAGTGTCTTTGAGACAAAAATGGTAAAAAAATACCGTCATAAATATCGGTATATGCTCACCTGTAAGTGAAAAAGTCAACTGACTTACCTTCAAACCATCATCATTAACACACACCAGTCACGGCTGACTGATTTACCATCAAACAATTATCATTAACACACACCAATCACGGTTGACTGATTTACCATCAAGCCAACATCATTAACACACCAGTCACGGCTGACTGACTTCCCATCGAACCAGCAGTACTAACACAAACCAGTCAATAGCATAAACACTCTCCGGTCATGCATGGTTGATTGACTTACATTATAAACATCGATAACATAGGTGCCAGTATCCCAGCAGGTATCATGAAGTAGTTCCAGATGACTGATGAATCAATTTCATGATCGACCAATAAGGGGGTCTTGCGGACCACGTGGTAGGTGTCATTAGTTGTGTTGTCCACGATGCTATCGGTCACTTGAGGCATGCTTCTAGATAGAGTAATAATGGTTGTGTCGTCATAGTGAGTATTTGTGGTTCCAATCTCTGTTTCAGAACAGCTGACAAAAACATCACTTAGCCGGGAATATTCATCAGGGCATGTCTTTAACCAAACACCACATGCATTTTGTAGTTTACAACTTTCTTTCCGACTCGACAAATCATAAACTGTTTTATTGGGTGAACGAAAGCACTTCAAAAGGATCATGAACTTTTCCGTGCACTGCAACTTTGTCCCGACATCTGGCGAGCACACAAGTGCAGGGTTCCATACTGGCGGACAGGGTGCGATGCCTAACAGTCTGTCCACAGGGTCGGGCCGAACGCATGGATCCTCCACTATACAATCTACATCAACGATTCTGCATGGCGGGTCCACACTTGGGTCCAAAAGCACGGGCACACGTCTACATACCTAAAATGTGCGATTTAGTAGATGAAACATGGACAAAGTTTTTAGCTTGTACATGGAATCATTCCCTTACTTATGTATTTATATAAGTGCAACAAACAAGATATCCCGAAGGGATCCTTGCGCCCAACATTGTTTTTGCTCTGAATTATATGAAATTTGAAAATTCCTCCTTAGAAATAGCGATTAAAATCTTATACTGTCAAATCTAAGATGGTCGACTTAGACCGTTCTGTTCCTAATCAGTTCTAAAATAAAAAAATCAAACTGGTACAAGGAAACAATTGGGACCAAACATCCATCCAGCATTTATCAAGAGATAGCGATATCAAGAATTGTTAACGAGAGGCAGGGCTGACAACACATTTAGGCGTTTAAGGCCATCCCCCCTCAAAAAACTGCCTTTATGTTGTGAAAAATGCATGACATATGAAATTTAGATGGCAAAACTTTCCATTGTATATATATCCTACAAAAATCAATCTAAGGATATCTATGTCTTACCCGATCCACATAAAAATCGCTTGTGTTATAGCTGAACCGATAATCGACCGTTGATCCAGATGGTGCACTGGTCACCATGACAGACAGCAGTAAATGGAAAACCAGTAATGTGCATAGTCTGATCACAAACACCAATGTTTTGTTGGAGACACTGCAGCGTGTGCTCACGGGGACAACATGTGTGCCCGCCGTCATCTTCTCAGCAGTCAGCAAAGTGACACTTCAACGAGTCATGTGTTTATCTGCTCCATCTGTAACCAATGTCCTTCTTAATATAATCATATTTCATTATCGTATTTACATATAGCGTTACAAGAACAATAATTAGAATTGGATTCGGACACAAGTTTTCCAACTTGTGTAAATTAAGGTCATTCTTGCTATAATCCTTCCATCCATGTTAAATAATATGCGATTTGATAAAAAAAACCCCAAACAAACAAACCTGAGAAGTAACCAATGACATGCGGCTTTCTGTAGCATCTGTCTGCGTTGAAGGGGCAAGGCACTTTATCTTCAGATTAGTTTAGACGATAGTGCGGGTTACTGTTACAATTTTTGTTTAGGGTTTATCTACACCAGTCCTGTATCATTTCACCATCATTACTTCCGGTACAGGCATGCAGTACTCTATTACTAATATCCATGTGCTCGTTATATTTATTGGACTAACATTATAACCACGAGGATCATATACTGCGACACTAATTTTGTACACATAAGTAGTTATGAAGTGTTATCATTGAATCATAGATAATTGTGTCACGTGTTCTATAATCAACATATGTCGATAGAAACAAACAGAAAAACAAATCAAATGTATGGAGGCCGAGAATAGCAAGAGGCCCAATAAGGCCGTTGTTGGCAAATTCTAGCCGATAAAGTGAAATAAGTGCAGTATTCTTGTTCGGATTTTATCCTTTGAATTGTCAATCACCTTGATGAACATCGAAACATAATAGCATCTCCTACATGCAATGACGTAGTACACTAAAATTTGGTCACTGTCCTTCACCTCAAGGTCATAGGCAAATATAGTATTTTCGATAAGTTCTTATTCGGGCTATAACCTTTAAATTGTCAGTAACCTTGATGAATATCGGAACATGTTCGAGGTATAATTTTAAATTGAGAAAGATTAATAGATCTTCCCCTAGCTTGAGGAAAGGACGGAGAAACTATACCCGATGAATTTCATTACTGTCTAACCTGATGCTTTGCCGAGAGTTAGAGACTTTCGGGAATCTTCTCAAAGTCTAAAAAATCTCTGTCTTGTCCTTCTACTACCCCTTATCTCCTACATAATAGAAATAGAATAACGAGACAAATATGGCAACGCAATCAGGCAAATAACGACTTTTCTTTTTCTTTTGACCGATTTGTATTCTTCTTTATACATTTTACAAAGACAATCGTAATGAGAAATAATTGCAATGATGCATTGGAAATTATCACCGTTACCTCCACCCTACGGTAAAAAGAACAATAAACGGATATTCACGTCCTTGTGCGTGTTCCTACATCAGAGGTCAAGACCATCAATTTATTTACATCTTATGCGGTTGACAATGGATAAGGATATGATGAATGAAAGATGTGATATTTGAGTTCTCATATTATATTACCATAGGTCAAAATGACGAGTCAGATATCAAAGTCCAGTTGGTCATCTCTTTATTGGTAAATATTTTGTAATGAATAGGAAATACAAATTTATGTCGTTGGCAAATAATTGGAGATATAACAATGTTCTAGCCATGAAACCCACTCTTCAGGTTGAGTTTATATGTGCTAAAGCTCACCTGATGCACAATGACCAGATGTCACAAGAAATGTCGCCCACCATACATGTACTTCCGTGAGACTGCATTATTCCCCCTATAAACAGTGTTTATATAAACACTTCACAGTGCAGTTATCAATCAGGACTAGACAACATACAGCACACATCTTTCATAAAGATTAAATAGCTTATATAGTTTATCTATGTTACAACGAATCAAGTCTACAAGTATCTATAATAAACCAGAACCAGATCTCTTGGCGTTGTTGCAAAAAAATCAACAAGTTACCAGCATCATACTCTAACCTCCAATTCAGTAAAACCTTTGGCATCCATGAAATCCAGGGAATGCTACGGCCTTGCCTCCGATCAGAGGAGACTCCATGACGCAAGAGGGCGAAAGCCAAGAGGAAACCCTCGAGCAGACCAGGTCATTAGTACACCCCAAATCTACAACGAAGATCGGCAACTGGAACGTACGTACACTTTACCAAAGTGGCAATGTAGCACAGGTTGCAAGAGAAATGACAAGAAGAGATAAAGATATCATGGGTATTAGTGAAACTCATTGGACCGGACGAGGGAAAATCAAGATAGCAGAAAGAGAGACAATCATCTACCCCGGAAGGGACGATAACATCCATAGAGAAGGTGTTGCCATACTTTTGTCAAAGAAAGCATCAAGTGCGCTGATAGATTGGACACCAGTAAACGAAAGGATCATCATAGCAAGGTTTTTCTCAAAGCACATCAAGCTGACGGTTGTGCATATATACGCACCTACAGAAGATCAAGTGAAATATGAGCTTTATGCAAGATTACAGGAGGTACTGGAAAGAAGAAACCGGCATGACATGTTGATCATCACTAGTGATATGAATGCCAAAGTGGGAAGCGACAACGGGCACTACGAAAGAATAATGGGGAGACATGGGCTCGGGGTGAGGAATGACAATGGTGAAAGGCTGTGTGAAATGTGCGACCTCAACGAATTAGTTGTTACAGGAACGTTATTCCCACATAAAAACATCCACAAAGAAACACCAAATGGAACCATCAGGAATCAGATAGATCATGTATTAGTCAACAGGCGTTTTAGGAATTCAGTTAAGGATACCAGAGTATTCAGGTCGGCAGACATTGGAAGCGATCATCTGCTTGTGTGCACAACAGTCAAATTGAGGCTAAGGAAGCAGTGTAAAGAGAAAAGGTGTGAGAGGGTAAAGTACGACATAGAGAAGTTGAAGGATGCGGATACAGTGAGAAGGTTTAACATTGCAGTAAGAAATAGGTTTCAGGTATTGGATAACGAGGAGTTTGATAGAGAAGAGGACGAGGTAGAGAGAAAGTTCAGAGTAATCCAGAAGACATACACAGAGACAGCAAAAGAGATATTGGGTAGACCTAGGAAGAAGAAGAAACCATGGATCAGTGAAGCCTCATGGAAGCTAGTAGAGGAAAGAGGAGAAATAAACAAGAAAAATGTGTGTACAAACTCAGAGAGGGTTAAAGGACAGTTAAAAGAGGAGTACAAGGTTAAAGACAGAGAAGTCAAAAGAAGTCTGAAAGCACACAAGAAGAAATGGATAGACAACATCGCGAGTGACGCTGAAGAGGCAGCAAGGAGTCAGCACATGAAAACTTCGTATAGTCTTACAAAGACACTCTGCAATGAAAGACCTAGGAGTAGTACAGCGGTATTGGACAAGAACGGCAACCTCATTAGTGGCAAAGCAGAGGTTTTTATCAAGATGGACAGAACACTTCCAGGAAATCCTGGAACCACAGGATTCCATTACAGAAGATGATGAAGTAAAATTAGATGATATATTTGAAGAAATTTCAGTCGACATGCCATCAATAGAAGAAGTGCAGAGGGCTATCAAGAAGTTGAGGAATGGAAAGTCACCAGGAATAGATTCAATCACGGCAGAGTTGATAAAGGCAGATACAAACTTTTCAAGTACAAAAATCCATGAGCTCATGCAAGCAATATAGAGAGAAGAACAAATTCTAGATAGCTGGAAGAAAGGGCTCATCATCAAGTTACCAAAAAATGGAAACCTAAATGAATGCAAGAACTCAAGTGGAATCACTTTGCTGTCAGTAGTAGGAAAATTGCTCGGAACGATCATCATCGATCGCATAAGAGAAGGAATCGATAGCAAGCTAAGGAAAAATCAGGCAGGATATAGAAAGGGAAGGCGCACGACGGAGCAGGTCTTTATACTTAGGAACACCATAGAGCAAGTGAACGAGTGGCAGGCTACATTGTATTTGAACTTTATAGATTTTGAAAAAGCTTTCGACTCCATCCACCGTGAAAGCCAGTGGACCATCATGAGGAAATATGGGGTACCAGACAAGATCGTAAGAATAGTACAGTTATTTTATGAAGATTTCCAGTGTGCAGTAGAAGACCAAGGAGAGAAAGGAGAATGGTTTAACATCAAGACAGGAGTAAAACAAGGGTGCAATATGTCCGGATTTATCTTCCTGGTAATTATGGACTGGGTGATGAGGAAAGCAGTTGGAAACGGTGAGAACGGCATTAGATGGAGCTTGACAACAAAAATGGAGGATTTAGATTTCGCAGATGATATCTCATTATTCTCCTCAACTAGACAACAGATACAAGACAAAACCACAAGATGAAGAAACAAGCAGAGTCGGACTTAAGACCAACAAAGATAAAACTAAAGTAATGAGGATCAATGCATGGAACGAGAATACCATCAAACTAAGAGGTCTGGACATCGAGGATGCAGAGCAGTTTACATACCTAGGAGCAACAGTGTGCAAAGAAGGTGGTGGAATGAAAGGCATTAAAAGCAGACTTTCAAAAGCCAGGGGAGCATTTATCCGGCTCAAGCATATATGGAACTCAAGCAGCATCCCGAGGAAAACAAAATTGAAACTGTACAAGGCATTAGTAATACCTGTCCTACTCTATGGATGTGAAATGAATAAGGGTGATGATCGGATGGTAGATGTTTTCCACAACAAGTGCCTCAGGAGAATTCTCAACATACAATGGCAAGAACATATAAAGACGGACGAAATATTGGAAAGAGCGAGCATGAGACCAATTAGCCAGGAGATAAAATGCCGCAAATGGGAAATGATTGGACACATATTGAGACAGGACAGAAACAACGACTGCAACGTTGCCTTAACCTGGGCCCCCAGAAGGGAAGCGGAGAAGAGGAAGACCGAAGATGACGTGGAGAAGATCAGTTGAAAGAGAGAGAGAAGAAGCAGGCTGGAAGTCTTGGAACGAGGTGCGGACAATAGCAACAGACCGGCAGAGATGGAAGCGTTCTGTGAAGGCCTTATGTGCCACGAGGCACGAAGTGGATAGGTAACAGGTTTGGCAAATATGAAAAAAAGCAAGATGATTTAAACGGAGACTCCCGAAAAAGTACTCGGATAATTACAAGGTGTTCCGGAAGAGTCTACAACACACAGCGAAGTCCACAACGCACAGAGTGTGGTCTACAACGCACAGAACAAAATTAACCACAAAGCCACGTCTACAACGCGCAGAGCCAGGCATACAACAGACAGAGCTATGTCTACAACACAATGAGCCTTGTCTGCAACACACAGCCAGGTCTACAACAGGCAGAGCTAGGCCCACAACACACAGAATCAGGTTCACAACACACAGAGCCATGTCTAAAACACATGAGGCCAGGCCTATAACAGGCAGAGAAACAGGTCTACAACAGGCAAAGCCAGGTTTACAACATGCAGAGAGCCAGGTCTACAACAGGTACATCTATGTTAACGACAGACAGATCACGGTCTACAGTTGACAACCTTCACAACAACACCACGCATCCTCTTAACACCTTATTGGCAGGTATCACATCACAATTTAGCCAAGGCACTGCAAATTATAAAGTTAGATAACATAAATTTAATTCTATGATGCATAAAACCAAAGCCATGTGAAGTAAATGAACTTACCAACAAAAGTAAAATCTACGATGTTTCTGTCCAGCTGTCTCTGAAGTAAAAATAAAACATACCACACAATGTACACAACGTGGCAGGTAAAGATGAATCTTACATTAAATTAATCAACAGAAATTCCCGCTTATGTGCAACTTCCGTATTGATAAATTAACTCCACGGGCGCAATACACTATTATCGTAGGCTCTAAACAGGGAAGGAAATTGGATAAACCGTGCACGTGTTTGTGAGTACTTATCCCGACATATTAAAATACTACTTCCGCTCTCTTACACGTGTAATAAGTGAAAGTGTCATATCCACCTTGTCGTGAAAACTGTTACGTCACTAAAACCCTTACAACCGTTACAATCGTATGAATATTTTAAGTGGCGACTTAAAGTAATATACTGTTATGGTCCTCCTTCCATGCCTCTCCATCCCCCTTACACTGACAAACATCTATTTACACATCTACACTGTATGATTTTCAGGTTTTCCTTGTTGTTCTACTCGCACCGACAAAACTATACAATCACTAAAACCTTGCACCTATACGATGATATGATGATTTAGAATCAGGACCACGCCAGAACACCATACCGATTAGGATAGTGATTCAGGACTTTCTATATTTTAGTTTGTGTCGAGCGACTCCGGAATTACTCGCTCTTAGCGATTAGCTACAAGTGGTTGGGCCTTCCCAAACAACTGAACATGATCAGTATACATGTGCAGTACACATACACCACGCAGACGAGGAAACTGTCAGATATAGCAGTTATTATTCGAGCAGACGATCACAGCGCCACTCAACATATGTATGTTATAGTAATGCCACATGTGAGTTTATTCTTTGAGTATACGTTCTACAATTTTCCAATATTTTTTTCAAACTTAGGAATGTTTATGCATTTTCAAAACATGAACAAATACAACGAATGATTGTCTAGCTTATCAGCAGCAGCTATTGCAAAATGCTAAGTTATTATTTAGGACAAATAGAGAAGGATGTGGGATGTATAAATATGTAAAAAGACTTGCACAAACTTACCGTAAACTACACCGTACGTTTTGATGAAAAAAAAAATCAGACATTCACACCCCACCCCCACCCCAACACACACATTACCGCAACATCGATTTAGGACCTGTTATATATACAAAAACTACGACCAAAATCACGCCGACTCCGAAGCGCCGAAAGAACAGCAATGGCAATCACGGTCGTTCTATTCTCATAAAGACTACATGTAAACGAATGGAATATAATGATATAACAATACATAGTTGAAGAAGATGGTCTTTCGTAATTGCGTATTAATTATCACAATCAGTAATGAATCAATAGTAATTCATGTTATGCTACTTAAATGTTGTTTTTGTAAATTTCCTTATTTAGGACTATCCCTGGTTATTAAACTTGATATATTCATAGCTTGCAAAGATTATATACGTGTCGTTTATCTTAAAATAGTGAAGTAATAAATGTTCGGTCGAAATCGCATTCGAAACCGCTGTGACATCATAAGTGACACTCCGATTGTAGCGACATTGACGATATCCCAGAGGTGTCATTCACGCTAGATATCCATCCATATATGTATGAACCTGAGACAATTGAACAATGACGATCATATCGACTCAGATTCGTCAGATAGTTCCGAGGAACTGCATACAAGACGCGACGAGGATGACGAAGATAGCATGGCTTCCGATCAACCTGTCGGAGAATGGTTAGTTTACATTGCAACTACACGGCTTTATTGTTGTTCAGATTTCGATAATTGTATGTCATCTGTAAACTGTGTTTTTTTCTGTATTCCAATTTATTTTATTTTTCTATCGTCAAAATAGAAGCGGATAAAATACGTATTTGTTTACCACTTTATACGCCGATAAGCAAGGCATTCTTCCGTTTATTGTTCATATACCAACTGGTCTACTGATCATTAACATTGTCATGAAATCAATATGTTTATGAAATTATTCGTTTTTCTTCATTAGTTTGTATTGATATCATTTTTCAAACAGTTTACGTTCTCCTGTTGTGTACATTTTCATTCACTTTGACTCTTCTGTTTGTACATTTTACCTCTTTCCTGTATTTTAGTACGTGAACGATGTATTTTCCAGCAGAAACAACATGACACAAGCTCATTACTTTACGATTATATTTATTAATCGGAACATTATAGTACCTCAAATGCAAAATGCAAAGAGGATAACATTATGATAAATATGTTCCACCAGACCTGAAATTTCCGTTCATTTAATTAATCTAACTAACGTTAATGGATGGATGCATAATAACTTATCTTATTCTCTGTACAATTTGTTCTTTAATAACATTTTCAAGATATTTTCTTCCGTCGTATGTCTGCAAGTCTGAGAGAACAGTGTTATTACAATATTAATCTATACATTTTGTTCCAGGTGTTCCTGTAACATGTGTTCCCATATGTCCACTGAGGAGGAAAGAAAATGCTGTCAGTACATGAGCATATTAGAAGAAAAGTTGACCGACATAGGCTGTATCACCCAACATGTAGGTTTTATTGGAATTGTCTATACATGCATGTCCTGGAAACATCCTACTATGAATATGCTGAAACACACGGCCCAGGAGGACAAGAAGACATTCAAAGGTATATAATGTAAAAGGCAATTTAAATGAATATCTTTGTCTAACAGATTAAATGCAACATTGATACCCTCTATTACTAATTAAACCCCTACATTGCATACATAACTAGATAATTAATTCCTATATTTCACTACTAAGTAATGGATTAGCAATAACTTTTGACCACAGTCCATTTTGTAGCACTTAAATTACACTGCAAATACTTGTATATATGCATACATGTACCAGTGTCTTCAAACTTAAGAAATTTCATATTTTTTTTTTTCACTTCAGGAAGTATCGGCTTGTAGCATATCGTCGCTTCATCAGGTGGACATGGAAAGTTCTTGGGGAAAAAAATCGACGGGTCATACCATCATGTGCTGTGCTATACGGAAACAATTTCCATCACAACAATACACTGGTTTCAAGTACCCTCGTTTCTGACAGCTGGTAAATCTGTGACAATGGTTATGGATGATTACGTCTCTGTCGAAATTCCCCATGGCACCGCGGAGTTGACTTGCAATGGAAGGAGGGGGAGAAGCAATTTCCTCAAAAAGTGCTGCTTCAGCCTGTTGTTATCTGTTGACAAGGTGACATTAACAGTTTAAGGCAGAACAAGAACAATAAAAACTATAACTTGAATGGTCACAGTCATAATGGGGTGTCTTTTGAATAATGTATGAATTTCAAACGTGTTTGGTATCTTGTTTACAGCAGTTGGTGGAGACGAGTGAGATGCCACCTGACTTACTGTGGTTGAGCTGACAGTAGTTAGTGGAGACGAGTGAGATGCCACCGGATTTACAGTGGTTGAGCTGACAGTAGTTGGTGGAGGCGAGTGAGATGCCACCGGACTTACCGTGGATGAACTGACAGTAGTTGGTGGAGACGAGTGAGATGCCACCGGATTTACAGTGGTTGAGCTGACAGTAGTTAGTGGAGACGAGTGAGATGCCACCGGACTCACCGTAGTTGAGCTGACAGTAGTTGGGGTGATGTGTGACATGCCACCGGACTTACCGCGGTTGAGCTGACAGTAGTTGGTGGAGACGAGTGAGATGCCACCGGACTTACAGTGGTTGAGCTGACAGTAGTTGGTGGAGACGAGTGAGATGCCACCAGACTTACAGTGGTTGAGCTGACAGTAGTTGGTGGAGATGAGTGAGATGCCATCGGACTTAGTGGTTGAGCTGACAGTAGTTGGTGGAGACGTGTGAGATGCCACCGGACTTACCGCGGTTGAGCTGACAGTAGTTGGTGGAGACGTGGGAGATGCCACCGGACTTACCGTGGATGAACTGACAGTAGTTAGTGGAGACGAGTGAGATGCCACCGGATTTACAGTGGTTGAGCTGACAGTAGTTGGTGGAGAAGTGTGAGATGCCACCGGATTTACAGTGGTTGAGCTGACAGTAGTTGGTGGAGAAGTGTGAGATGCCACCGGACTTACCATGGTTGAGCTGACAGCAGTTGGTGGAGACAAGCGAGATGCCATCGGACTCACCGTAGTTGAGCTGACAGTAGTTGGGGGAGATGTGTGAGATGCCACCGGACTTACCGCGGGTGAGCTGACAGTAGTTGGTGGAGACGAGTGAGATGCCACCGGACTTACAGTGGTTGAGCTGACAGTAGTTAGTGGAGACAAGTGAGATGCCACCGGACTTACCATGGTTGAGCTGACAGCAGTTGGTGGAGACGTGTGAGATGCCACCGGACTTACCATGGTTGAGCTGACAGCAGTTGGTGGAGACGTGTGAGATGCCACCGGACTTACCATGGTTGAGCTGACAGCAGTTGGTGGAGACAAGCGAGATGCCATCAGACTTACGGCGGTTTAGCTGACAGTAGTTAGTGGAGACGTGTGATATGCCACCGGACTTACCACGGTTGAGCTGACAGAAGTTAGTGGAGGCAAGTCAGATGCCCCCAGATTTACAGTGGTTGAGCTGACAGTAGTTGGTGGAGACGAGTGAGATGCCATCGGATTTACAGTGGTTGAGCTGGCAGATAGTACGGACTACGAGATGGATTGAGAACTTGCTGATGGTGAGGACAATGGAGAAGTTCAGCAGGAATCAGAGTCTGTAGAAAAGTAGGAGATGACCACTCATTCATAGGAGTCGAGTCCAGTCCTAAAACTATCTGGTCATGTTACTCGGAAGCTGATAAAAGTTTTATTCAAGGAAACTGCCTGATTAGTCATAGACAGATGATTATCTGAGGTCTACTGACAAAGCCGCAAGCCCTTGACAAACGTTTAAATTCTTCTTACTGTGCTTATAAAAAGACTGAATCCATTGGTTGACTACCGATCGGTGTTCGATACCATTTGACTCATATAATTAATTAGTATTGAATCATAGGGCTGAGTAATATCTGGCCACTGGACCCATGTATAAGACATGCGTTTAACAGTTATTTCATTTATCTGTCTTTCACTCCCTGTGTTGAGAATTCATTGTAACAACAACTGTAGTGAACCTATCGTGAGATTTGCCCCAATAGTAGGTTTTCTAGGACATGTGTAGAGGAATTCTGTGAGAGTTAGCAGAAAAATGTTTATCTTTCCATCAACGTATGATTTGATGATGGCGACTTTTTGTTAATTACATATAAAACTTAACAGAAATGTCAACAATGCAAAATTTGGCGATCTGGAGAAATTATCATGGAGAAATTCTGACCGCGAACAAGACAAAAATTAAATCGCCGATAGTCAGAACACTTAGGAATTCCAATGATATTTTCGGTTTAAAAAAAAATACGCATTGACATGTTTTTATTCACTATTGTTATAAATTGCGCCTGTAAAGCTGATATTTTGCCTGATTTCTTACATATACTTAAACCAAAAGTTGTCGAGGCTGGATAAAATGAAAAAAGTTTAAAACTTGTTTCATCAAACTATGGCGGAAACTCCAGTAAGAACCTTTATCCATTTGATACACAATATTACCTTTGCCTTCATTATATTACTCTTAACAGCATTCCTAGCAACCCTCACAACATCCATAATTTCCTTACTTCCTGTATTTAATAACACGAACATCCATAACAACTGTCATTGAGTCCAAACCAACAACAAAATCTCACATTATCAATAACTCTCACTGTACCCCTAACAATTAACAAAACACCAATAACAACAAGCATTGTATCCCTAACAATTATAACAGTATCCCTAACAATTCTATCAGTATCACTAACAATTCTATCAGTATCCCTAACAATTCTATCAGTATCACTAACAATTCTATCAGTATCACTAACAATTCTATCAGTATCCCTAACAATTCTATCAGTATCCCTAACAATTCTATCAGTATCACTAACAATTCTATCAGTATCCCTAACAATTCTATCAGTATCCCTAACAATTCTAACAATTCTATCGTATCCCCAGTTCTCTCTCGCACACAGCATCCATAACAAAACACATAGCATCCCTAACAACTATCGCAGTAACCCTAACAACCATCACAGTATCCCTAACGGCTCTCACAATATTCCTAACAACTGTCTAAGTTTCACTAAAAAACTCAGAATATCCCTAACAACACTCTCAGTATCCCTATCAATTATCAAAGTATCCTTAACAACTTTCACAGTATCCCTAACAACTGTCACAGTATCCCTAACAACTGTCACAGTATCCCTAACAACTCTCACAGTATCCCCCCTAATAACTCTCACAGTATCCCTAACAACTCTCACAGTATCCCTAACAACTATCACAGTATCCCTAATAACTCTCACAGTATCCCTAACAACTCTCTCAATATCCCTAAAAACTCTCACAGTATCCCTAAGCACTCTCACAGTATCCCTTACAACTATCATAGCATCACTAATAACTCTCACAGTATCCCTTACAACTCTCACAATATCCCTAACAATTCTCACAGTATCCCTAATAACTCTCGCCCATAGTATCCCTAACAACTCTGGCAGTATCCCTAACAACTCTCACAGTATCCCTAACAACTATCACAGTATCCCTTACAATTATCACAGTATCCCTAACAACTATCACAGTATCCCTAGCACAAGTTAATTATCTTTAACAATTATAAAAGTATCACTAACAATTATAACAGTGTAACTAAGAATTCTCACAGTATCCCTAAATACAACTCTCACAGTATCCCTAACAATTCACAAATCATCCCTAATAACTAACAATTATATAGTATCCCTAACAATTATCACAGTATCCCTAACAACTATCACAGTATCCCAAACAACTCTCATAGTATCCCTTACGACTATCACAGTATCCCTAACAACTATCACAGTAACCTTAACTTACAACTCTCACAGTATCCCTAACAATTATCACAGTATCAGTGTAACCTAACAATTCTCTCATTCACAGTATCTCTAACAATTATAACAGTATCACTAACAATTCTATCAGTATCCCTTACAACTCTAACAGTATCCCTAACAATTCTATCAGTATCACTAACAATTCTATCAGTATTCCTAACAATTCTATCAGTATCCCTAACAATTCTCACCGTATCCCCAGTGTCTCTCGCACACAGCATCCATAACAAAACACATAGCATCCCTAACAACTATCACAGTAACCCTAACAACCATCACAGTATCCCTAACGGCTCTCACAATATTCCTAACAATTGTCTAAGTTTCACTAAAAAACTCAGAATATCCCTAACAACACTCTCAGTATCCCTATCAATTATCAAAGTATCCTTAACAACTTTCACAGTATCCCTAACAACTGTCACAGTATCCCTTACAACTATCACAGTATCCCTAACAACTTTCACAGTATCCCTTACAACTCTCACAGTATCCCTAACAATTATCACAGTATCCCTAACAACTATCACAGTATCCCTAACAACTCTCACAGTATCCCTAACAACTCTCATAGTATCCCTTACGACTATCACAGTATCCCTAACAACTATCACAGTATCCCTAACAATTCTCACAGTATCCCTTACAATTATCACAGTATCCCTTACAACTCTCACAGTACCTCCAAGTTAATTATCTTTAACAATTATAACAGTATCACTAACAATTATAACAGTGTAACTAAGAATTCTCACAGTATCCCTAAATACTCTCACAGTATCCCTAACAACTCTCACAGTATCCCTAACAACTATCACAGTATCCCTTACAATTATCACAGTATCCCTAACAACTATCACAGTATCCCTAGCACAAGTTAATTATCTTTAACAATTATAACAGTATCACTAACAATTATAACAGTGTAACTAAGAATTCTCACAGTATCCCTAAATACTCTCACAGTACCCCTAACAATTCACAAAGTATCCCTAATAACTATCATAGTATCCCTAGCAACGCTCACAGTATCCTTTACAATTCTCACAGTATCCCTAACAACTCTCACAGTATCCCTAACAACTCTCACAGTATCACTAGCAACTATCACAGTATCCCTAGCAACTCTCATTCACAGTATCTCTAACAATTATAACAGTATCACTAACAATTATAACAGTGTAACTAAGAATTCTCACAGCATCCGTAACAACTCTCACAGTATCCCTAACAACTCTCACAGTATCCCTAACAATTCTCACAGTATCCCTAAATACTCTCACAGAATCATTAACACACTAACAACTCTCATACCGGACAAATGGATTAATTATTTCTCTGGTAAATTAGTAATTTAATAATACCAAATACACACTCATTCCCTCACCACATATTGATATTTAAAGACATATAAGACAAAAGGAATGAGTCTCATTCTGCCAACTGAACAGCAATGCTAGCTGGAGCATTGCTGGTATTCATGCTACATAAATGTTGTGTACAAGCTGTTATTACCTAACATTATGGAATTTTAACTTACATAAAAACAATTAACTATCCATATACAAATGCAAAATTGATCATAAACTTCAAACACCAGCTCATTATTGAAAACAGAAGATCTTGTACTTGATGACTTTGTCACTTCCGGTATATACTTCCCTACAAGGTAATTATTAATATTCACACCAAATTCGTAATTTGATAAATAGTACAAGCACAATGCCCTGTTTAATCCCGGCCATTCAGGTTTATTAAGTTAAATATTGTTTACAGACTAGGATCATATACTTTCTTACTTCATTCAGATTACGAACAAAATGTGTGACTGTGTATGTGAAAGTGGGGCCAGATTGAGGGAAAATCATTAACTTGAGATTGATACATTTTCTGAAAGCCTTCATTGTGAAATATATAGATCCAAAATATAAGTGGTCTCTGTATTACCATCACAGAGAAAATCCACATTAGATACTATGTTGTTGATCTTGGATCTAGAATTTAACATGCACAAAACAAACCCAGAGTCAAATAATGACCTAACAGGTAACTGTATTCAACACCCCATTCAAATATAACATATCTAAATCCCTAAAAGTCAAACAATCATATGAAATAACAAGAAACAGTATATTTTAAAGTATGAATCATAAGTCCTCATAACAGCACACATTTACCATATAACAAAAAGCATGCAGCAAAGGGAGACATTCCATGTACAATTTAAAAAAAATAGTTTCAACAACTGAGATTACACCTATTTGGTCAAACTGTCTTGATGTGCTGTCTGTCATTCCTGGACAGTCTATTATGTGGAGCTTTCCCAGAATTTCCATTTTTTTCTTGGAATTAAGCGACCTGTCTCCAGTGATTTACTAATTGCCTGCAGTTTGGTTTTGTTGATATCATGTACATGGGTATGACAGAGACATATTATGTGTCATATATGTCTCTGGGTATGAACACTGGGTCTTCGATGAGTAAACAGCT